AATTTTGTAATTATGAATTTTCAGATTGTAGATCTAATCCAATGTTTAAGAATTGGTCTTACTGATCTCACGAAAAACTTTTGGTCTCACATGATTCTATATATATATATATATATATATATATATATATATATATATATATATATAGTTGAACAATATGTTTGCTAAAAAGAATTACAAAAGACGTCCTTGGGACAATCTTATAGTTCCTACAGGTGGAGATGATGAAATCGGTCCATAGATTTTTATTTATGATCTTTCAAACTACTGAATTATTGTGACCAAGATTTCATGAGATAGAACATTATATAATAATGAATAATTTCATCATTAATTTGGAATATGTTTATAACGGTGATCTATTTTTGAGAACCTAAAAATTGTAATAATCTTAAGAACTAGTGCATTGTGTATTATTTCATATCTTTATTTTTCCATCTAAGACTAAAATTTAAAATATTAATTAACATATATTTGTTTCACAATGTGTTTGTTTCATATATATTTATTTCACAATGGAACATTTTAAGTCTGTTTGTGAAATAAAAGTTACACGCAAAAAAGTTTTACATGATGCACCTCATACATATGAAACAAACACATTGTAAAACAATATATGTTCATAAATACATTAAATGTTAGCCGTAGATAAGAAAAAATCAAATTAAACAAAACTTTAAAATATAAATTCTTACAGTTATCACAGTTTATAGAATTCTCAAATAAGTAAACTGATGTTTATACATAGAACAAGCGTAGCGAGTTGGGAGGGTAAGAGTTCGAGAATTTGGGGCAACCAAACAAAGGTAAGCATTCCCTTTATTTTGCAAATGCTTGTGTATCTACGGTTATGTGATGTTTACATACGATTCATGAAAACCAAGTAGAAGCATTGATGATGATTTTATGTTAAGATTTAGTTCAAATTAGGGATGACACGGTTAGGCAAATATCAAGTCGTTTGTGCGACTTTGGTGCTGGAATTGGTGATCGATCGGAAGTTGTTCAAATTAGTTGTTTTCTTTTCAAATCAAATACTGCGGTAGAAATGAGGATGTTTTCTCATGTTTTTAAATGCGAATAAAAAGCCGGTTTAGAGTTTAAAAGTATGGGTTGATGTTGTCATGTGAGATAAACGTGTTCATGATGTGCGTTATAATCCTGTTATTTCTGAATCTTGAAAATGGTTGAATGTATGGAGTCAAAACGACTCGAAATAGGGATAAAGAAAAGGTTGATGCAGGACCATGCGAGATTCTCGTGCGTTCATGTTGACATGATGGAGAAGAAGTGGTGGCCTTTGAAGGTCATTTTGGCTTACATGCACAGTGAGAGGGGAAGGATCGTGAGAGAATTTAAATATTTTACAAGAAGACGAAAAGTTTTAATATCATATATGATTATATTTTTTTGAATGTGTTTAATCATATATGATTAAACATCTATGTGTTGTCAATGTAACATGTGTTTAATCATATATGATTAAACTTCTGTCATGCGTGTAATCATATATGATATTGAAAATTATTGCATTTTAGCAAAATACTTAGCTTCTCACTTGAACATGTCCATATATATATATATATAGGGGCCTATTCAAGGGAGAACTGAGTTGTTTGTGGTAACTGTGAGAACCAATATTAACCACAAATCAATATATAAATTAGGAAATTTACAAATTCGGTAATTTTAAATTAAAATCTTAATGCAAGGATATTTTTGGTATTTTAAAACTCTCCTCTCTCCTCTCTTCTCTCTCCGGCCTCCGGCCACCGTCCTCCGGTGATACCACTATGATACCACTGTGATACCTAAAAATATTGACTCTGTTAAACAAAAGATACATTGTGATACCTAACCATATATAAGATGCATAGTGATACCAYTGTGTTACATCTTCGATCGACCACACAAACGACATCAATGTGATACCCAAGCACATATATGATGCATTGTGATACCATTGTAGTATCACCGGAGGACGATGGCCAGAGGATGGTGGCCGGAGAGAGAAGAGAGGAGGGAGGAAAGTTTTAAAATACCAAAAATATATTTGCATTAATATTTTAATTCAAAATTGTCAAAATTATAAATTTCCTAATTTATCTATTGATTTGTGGTTAATATTGGTTCTCACAGTTACCACAAACTAATTAGTTCTCATTTGATTAGACCCCTATATATATATATATATATATATATATATATTAGTTGTGTACTCCGCAATGCGGCGGGAAGTAAATATTTTACGAAAAAATGAAAATAAATACAAGAAAAATGGTGCCATTGATGTAAAAAAACTGTGGGAACGTGTGAAACCCATAAAATTACTTTTTAAAAGAGGCCTTAAAGAAAGAAATGAGGTTTTAACATATTTAGAGGAAATATTATACAAGTTCAACAACATTTGGAATCTAACAAAAAACATATTTCCTTACATGTCAAAGCTTGTTAGATGCATGGTATGTGTGTCCCATGATAGACCCAAAGACCTTCTATGTAAGATCTGCCACAGATGAAAATTTAAGAGATTAAAAATAAAGCACACTTCTAAAGCAAAAGATAACAATTGAAATAAACCAATAATATTAAAACATATTAAATACCTAGACATAGAATAATAATCACCTGCATGATTATCAATCCAACTGCAACTAAATACTAAAAACTTCCTTGAAACCATGCCATCCAAACGAAGTCAACAACTTAGGATAATTTAGTTTGATGCCTAAAGAGAGCACAAATTATACAAAATGATAAACGACAAACAATACAGAGACATCCATAACTCTACTTCTCTACAACTTGGCTTGAAACCTCTTGAAGTAGAAATGCAGAATATGGGATTCTAAGCTATAAAAAAACCTTCTAGAAGAAAAGCAAGTAGTGATAAAGTTAGAAGATAACATTTGAAATAAAGATGTTCAGAAAAAAAAAAGTTTTTTCATATCATACAACCACTTTTATAACGTAATATATAGAAAACTAAACTTATTATCAATTGGTTACTTTACATGTGCATTTGTTTAAACATTAATTGGAGATAATAAAAGCAGGAGCATGTCAATTCCTCATATAGTTTCTTAAAATGTTTGCAAAATCTATTTGCTTTGCTATTTTCTTGAATATAATATGAAAACAACCGAACAACGACTCCCCACCTAACAAGGTGATGCCAGACCGCT